CTTAGGAAATCAGTTCTACTTCAGTTGCCTCACACAATTGATTGGCGAAACAAATATTTTCCGAAACAACGAATTTAAACAATAGTTTACGACGGTTTGAACAATTCCTGTGCTTAGTGTAAATAAGTAAAAACGTTCCGGATGATATTAATCCGAAGACATCGTCAAGAGAAATTCTTTTTTTCTACGATGCTTTTCTTATATTACAGGGACGTTAAAGAATTTTAATAATGGGGGATTAAAATTCAAAATACCTGAAAGATGAGCTGAAGGAAAGACGAAGAAAGAGAGTGAGAAACAGAGTTCGAAAATGCTCGCTTTCCAAGCACGAATCTGTAAGATGGAAAGGCCGTCTCCTCTTGAAATTGCACCCTGAAGAGACAGCCAGTCGCGGGGTCGATAACCAATTAGCTAACCCCACGACAAGGGGTGGAATTACGCGTAAACAACGCAGGCAATAGCTAGGGTAACGAGTTTTAAGGATATCGCTCTTGAATTTTCATTTTCTCTTTAATTTATCTCGCGCATCGCGATGTCACGTGGGAAAATTAGAAAAGGGGGATCTATTTAGGGAACTCTTAAATTCGTAAAAGTAAGAGAATTAAATTTTTGTTTAACACACACTTGAAAATGTTATAAAATTAAAAGCTTTCGTAATTTTTATCAATGTTCAAAAATGTAAATTTGGGAAAAATCTGATCTTGCGTAATATTTTTCTATAGTATAAAAGTATTAGCTTAAATAGATGCTTATTTTTAGCCAATGTTAGACAGTTTTTTATGATTTTAAAAAGAATTCTAATTAGTATTGGACGCAAATCATTAAATTGGATTGCACTGGTAAATTAGTTACCCTAAATAGAGAATATTATCAAAATCTATATAAATATAACGTACATCTTGTTTTTATAGAGTCACCCGAGCGAGATGATGCACACATCATGTCACGCACATGCGGTGGAAGCTCAGCCGGGGGCCTTGCATAGCCGATGGACCGAGCGAGGGATGCATATCAAGCAGCCTTTTCGCTCGCCAGCAAATTTGTCAATGGGCCTGGGAATCCCGGCCAATCCTCCCTTCTGAAAATGGCTGGCTCGTTCCGCATCCTTATCTTCCTTACGTCCCGTCGATCATCCTCACCTATCGCGTCTACGCTTCGCTGCACGAAAATGCGAAGGTGCAATCTTTCAGCTTCGAGGAATAAAGAAGTCACGAAGGTCAAGAAGCTTCGAGCTTAGAAAGCAACCATTTCTACCGTAGCGACATCCTGTCTGCGATTTCGGATAGAATTCTTGCATATAATTCAGGTGAGTAATTCTGCGAGTTCTTAGACGCTTGTAGAATTGGAATTGATTACGATCCATATTAATTTTTACGAATAATAATTACACGACGAACTAGATGAGCAAAAGTATTTTTCTTCTTGCTTTTTACCCGTCCGCGATGCGAGATGATCATTTTCCCAGCAATGTGACCCATGTCGTTAAACGATCGTCTGCATCAAGGAGGAACGATCTCCCGGCGGGGAAGGACAACGTCCGGGAAAACGGGAGGAGGCGAGAAAGTGAGTACCAGGTTCGAAAAATGGATGGGTGGTCGTTCGCAATTTGGCCCTCCAATAACCACGACACAAAGTAGCCAATTTATAATCCCCTGTCCCTCCCTAGCATCCCCTTCATTGGATACTTTTATCTACGCGCCTACACCTTCGTCCTCCGCGTTTCGCTGTCGCTTCTTCGATCGCATTGTTCCTCTCTTTCTCTTTTTTTTTTTGCATTTTACCTCACCGACCAGACGACGACGGTACACGATGATGATAGCGTTGCTGGCGAGCAATGACCCGAGAAATTAAGTTTCTCCATTAAGCCTTAATCGCGACGGGCGAACATCAACAGGCAAATGATCGCCTGACATTTTCGTTTGCGAGATCGGCGGACGACGTGTTTATTTAACTATTAATTGTTTAACGGAAAGATTGATACCGCGAAGTCAACAAACTTTTCTAATCAAGAGATGCTCACAGTGCGGTAAACGCTAAAGCAATTTATTTTAATTCATTATAGCCGGCACCTTATTCGGCGTGAACTTATTGTTAGTGTTGAATTCTCAGTTTCGCATTATAGTTATAATCTTCGTATTGGAAACGCACGACTTAGAATTCAGTTAGTCATATTACCGTTAAAATACCGTTCAAATTATACACCATTAACTCGATATAATCAACGTAAAAAGAAAAAAAATACGAAATTTATCTATCTCTGAGATCGCATCTGTAATTTATATAGTTTTCGTTGTGTTAAAGATCAATCTTCTGATCGTGCGTTCCAAATAACGAAGTATAACATCGGATAACATCGCATCCCGTTTACAACACGAGTATGCCATTCCCCGTCGGAGACATTATATTCGAAACTTACTTCGATCGTATAGATAATATTCACGGTAGGGAGAGCGTATTTACGACGCGGTGTATCCTACGGTCACGCGCTGTCCGCAAAACGCGCACTCGCACCATATATTTTCGTGGTTTTTCTCCTTTTCCCTCGAGTTCGAAATCGGGCGACACGTGTCGGGGGGGCCTCCGTAATATTTATTCGCGCATACCTATTTCTCGGTAATAGTAATCTTCGACAGTATATAGGCGGGAGCTGATTTTCACCCCTCACGTGGAACAGCCGGGAATTAATTGCTTTCCACATCGGGATTTCGAAGAGGGAGCGTTTCGGCGGAACAAAGAAAACGGCTCGGTCGGCTGCGAAGCTAAGAGGAAGAGCCCGCGAATCGCGTCCACGCGATCGATCACTTTCGGGCAGCGGCATAAGACATCCGGCGGACTATAATTTCTCGGCAGACAGTCCTCATGGCGGATACAAGGACTCGTTGTCGGGAATTCTATCGATCCGCTAATTTAATCTCGGATTACCCATGCCGCCCTGGCGTGAGCCGCGTAAAGATTTATGAGGCTCGTCGGAATGGATTTCCGTAAAGCAAAAAATTAAACGTAGCTATTAATCTGACGGTATCGCCGAATGTGGTTGCAGGACGACTTTTTAACGCGATTAGCAAATGTCATCGCGAAGCGATAAAACGCTTTCGTACGTTTAAGTATACGAGCGTGTAGTCGATATCAAATATTATTTACGGATTTATTCCAATATAAAATTTATTTTTATTGGAGACATTTTGGTTGTATAAGAATATTGATCAAATGAAAATAATATCGGGTATATTAATGTTTAAAATGGACTCGAGCATTTTTGCAAACTAAATAAGTCCCCTTCACGTTCCTAACAAACGACGGTCAGCGACGATATCGAACCCTGCTCTACTTTCTTATAAGAGATTCCAACTGTCCGTGAACACGCTTAACGTATTACAAATTAGGGTTCCTCCTACGCCTTCCTTCGTGATACCCGTGTCCGCATACAGAGGGGTAAAACTGCCAGGGGGTTACTTTACGGCGATGTTCCCAACGGGACGAATTCTAAGAGGTCGGGGGAGAGGCGTGGTTACGCATCGCCGATTGACGGATGGATCTTCGATTACGATGGGCGACGTGCCGTATAATTGACCAGGTGTCGCGAATCAGCGAAAGCTGGCGGTTTCATGACTCTCGATTAATCAGCACAAAACATGCTTTCGTAGAAAGAAAGCCGCGTCGGGGGACTTGGATTATCATCGTCGATCGAATTCCCATTATAAGATAAGGGGAATTTATTTTCCGTTCATAATCCTTACCTATAAACGCAACGAAAGCCGATAAATTACTTTTTCCAGTCACAAACTGATGATAGATTTATAAAGCTAAAAAAATTTTATTTATGCACATTTAAGTGATCCAATCTTCAAAGAATCTGCTAATTCATGCTTCTAATGACGGAGAAACCCCCCGATATCGTAATTATTCATTAGGTTGACTGAAAATTTTGCCTTTCTCAATTAATTGATTGCATTTCTTGACACGTATCATTTACCGAGAAAATTTCTCTCACACGGACTTGATAAATTTACTTTAACCTTTTCAAAATGGTGTCACATGCAATATTATTATAGAAGCATGCAGGATGTAATAAATTCATCGTCTCGCTCGTAGTTACCGGATAATAGGTCGCGTTCATCTCTCAAAAATATTTGCGATATTTCGAACAGCTTTATTTAACGAGAAAAGTTTTCGCAGACGAATCGTTTAATTATTACAAATATAGCGATCAAATATCGCGCAGATTTTTATTTCAAAAAACGACGTGGTGTATTATTAACGAGTCGTTAATTATAAATTCAGCGATATCAATGTTTTGCTTTCAGCGTGCAGAATTCATCTCTTTGCACGAAGTACATCTTGTTTATTTGTGTAGATATAAACATTAAAGAAATTTTTAACATTTGGCTCGTAAATTAAAAGCTTTTTAAAAAGATTATAGTTCCATTATTTCAAAATGTAATACCTAATTTATTATACATACTAATATAGTTTTCTGTGTTCTTACAAATCAAGGATTAAATGTAGATCGGGATGAGGAACGCTCTTTATGACAGGAAGGAAATAAATAACTCGAAACACGGTAATTTTTTTGCATTTCTTTTCATTTCACCAATATCTTTAGGATAATGGCATTAAAAAATGTTTATTAATATAATATGTATACTTTCCTTAAAATCATCATACTCGTATTCTCATAGCGTAATAATCATAATATATAATTATTGTAATATATATCTATATTTATTTATATATAATATATAATATATATTATGTTTATATGTCTTGCATATAGAGAATAGTCAATTAGATAGTAGGTTGTGTAGGTTTTTGTTGTGTTTATTTATTCATCATTTTTTATTTGTTTAATATTTAATGTATAGGTATTCCATTACTAAACATACAAAAGCGGTATAAAGCTCGATCCTCACACGCTGTCTATTTATAGTAATAATCATCGCGTTCTTACAAGTTTTTCCTTAAAAATTGCGTTACGAAATACGTTTTTTTGTCCGTTTTTCTTTTTTTTTCCACCGCATTTTAAATCTAGGCGTAGCCGCGTAATGCGCTAATGCTTACAGTGTACTTCCTGTTCGTCCTTTCGCTTAAAATACCTCCCCGGCGGTGCCTCGCGTCGCGCCCCAGGACCAGAAGGAAGGATAGGCCCCGGTGACGCGAGAGAGAGAGAGAGCGGCCGCGGGAAGGGAGGACGCTTAAGCCCGAAACTGCCAGGACCCATATTGACCGTGTCCTCCGCTCTGAGAGTAGAGCATTGATTAATTAACGCAAACTCGTGTAGTGCGACGTAGACGACAGGTTGGTCGACCTCCGTCGCCCCGTGCGACGGACCTTGACCCGAGGTCGGACCCCGAGGAGGTCGAACGACCGTCGATTGTTTCCTGACTAAAGTATTAAATGTCTACTACGTGTGTACGTGTGTAAATGTGTATGTCAAATCGCCTCTCCGAGATCCCCCCATCTTTCGCCTCGCGCTTTTAGTCCTTAGGCCCGCGCGCGAAGGACTCGAAACGCGCGTTTTGCGAGGCTTTCTGTGCAAACGAGATCGATCACGCTCGGAGAAACGATTCGGGGATTGTTGTGTTAAGCACTAGCTCTCGATCGAAACACAGCTTATCGATATTATTATATACTCTCTTTTTCTCAAACGCGATTCTCACCCTTCGTTTTACTTTCCGCTTTGTGTGTTTCTTCTTTTTTTTCGTGCGTCTATCTTCCCCTCAAAGTCGCTGGCGGGTGCACCGCGTGCATCTCCCTTAACGATTCCGTGATCTTTCTCCCATCTCTGTTCGCACGCTCGACGGACGTGTTCTCGACTGACGACTGTTCGAGATCGGGCCGTGCCAGCCAACGTTGCTTGGCGTGGCGAACGCCAGCTCGACGAATATCGCATCATCAGACAATCTCGTTTCTTATCATTCATATTTATTCGCTGTCATTCGCCTAGTAAGCATTTCCTTTTTCCTCGAAACACGCGCGAGCAATCGCTATCGGGAACATTTACAACGGCCAGCGCTCGATGTTCGCCCTCACGAAGGAATTCCTCGCGTTGTCTTCGCCTAATAGTTTTAACTTGAGCTCATCAGTCGAAAGCACGTCCGCGCAACGTATGAACTCGTCAACAATTCGACGCGTTGCAGCGTCATCGTCAATTGTCGCTCGCTACAAGATGGAGCGACGCAAGTTTACAAAGCAAACATCTCTCGTTTTTTTTTATTTTCACAACCAATATCTTAATACCAAATATATTCTTCTTAAGTCCTACCTATCCACATATCATAATTATATGTTCAACATGCAATATAAATGAGAGCTCGTAAAGGAACTTATACATTTGAACATTATACAAATGCTTTCTCAATGAATCAATACATATATTATATACGAATTATGTTAAAACTCACAAACATGTACAACTTTCAGCACAAAGAAAGAAACAGCATATACTTTATACCTTTTATTTGGATTAACATTACGTCATACTCGAGAATCTGGATGACAATACGATGTCGAAACTTAAACTATAACAATCTGAATAAACTCGTGATTATTACGGGAATCCCTTTCGTCATTCTGTGGAGCAAAGATGACAATTACTGTCAGCGACCCGCCAGCTAAAGGTACAGCGTAGTATCTAATAACCCGAGTTAGACTCTCGCCCTCAAGCCAACCAAACAAATATAATCGCATACAATTACAATACGAATTATTAAATATCAACTCTTATACTCTAACGATAGAATGATCATAATAAGAGTTTGGCAAGCGCTAAGGAAATAGTGCCGATCGTACAATGTAGTGTATCTTGTGTGTGTCTCTCCTGTGTGCACATTATACGTTTCCTCTGTGTGTATACTCTTTCATTTTATTCACAGTTTCAGTGGCGTGTATAGCAGCATTCCGACAGCGAGACGATCGAAAAAACGGTCACTCGATCTGTCGATATGCGTTATATGCGTATCGGTCCGTAAATGTATTTTTGCGATTTCTCGCGTGGAAATATATTAAGCTTAGATCTGCCTAGAACAATTTCGAAAACCGAAGCTCGACAATAGACAAGTAACGTCCTTCGGTGTTAACGGCGGCAATCGATTAAATTCGATTGCGGCGATATATCGCGGAATCAGTAGACCTCATAGATATCAATAGTCTCGAAAAAAGATGTATTTATTGATTATCCAGATACGTCGACGTTCTTGATTTATTGCATGCGTCTTCGAGGAGAATTTGACGAGGGAGGAGCGAGGTGGAGAGAGCTCGCTGTTTTCCCAGGTTCATAAAATTTCATCGTAAATGCGAAAAATCCACGGCCGAGGACGACGATCTACGTTTTTAAATACGCGCCCTTTCCCGTCCCACATTTTTTTTTGCAAGTCACTTTCGAATAGATTTTTATCAAAAATATATTTATCTATATATCTGTGTATACGTTTGTCTCACGCCTGTGTTCCTCTTTCCATTTCTCACTTTTTAGTCCACGGCATCGATCGGCCACCAAACGCTCGAGTCTTACGTACGGATATTCGAACGATCAAGGAATTCTTGATGGTTCGGATATGGAGTCGTTGGGTCGCCGGTGTCCGCCGTCGGAATCAATCGTACCCGATACTTTGTCCCCCGGCTCGTCGTCTACGATCGCACGAGATCTTTCCGCTTGACAATCGCCCCGGACCCATCCTCCTCTCTCCTCCTCCGTTAATTTTCGCCTCGAATCGTTGACGCTGATACGACAATTAAACAGAGATCAGTCTCGAATCTGTTATTATTTCGAATACTCGGCGCGGACTTATGTGTGGTCCTTCAAAAAACAGCGTATAAAACGTTCTCGGTAAAAAACTCCCTGGAAAGATTATGTTTCTCGAGTCTTATCTTCGGCAGTTGCAAGTTACGTTTACGAGGCGATATGCACTTCTATCGACCGACGAACGAAAGCCACTTACGGTAAAAAATAACGTGCGGGATCGAACCTTCGAATTCGATAATTTTTACATCAACTCGAGGAGAATTTGGTTTGGGATTCGATCGAGCACGAGTTTTCCTTTGTTTGATGTAATTTTTTGATAAATTCATAGATGTTTAACATTCGGATATCTTTCTTGATTGCCGCTTGTCGATCGAAGTGCAAAACCTCGGATATTATTTTCATTTATTGCTCCTAAATAGATGTATGTGAATTGCATGTATGCGTGTTTACACGTATGGAGGTACATACACGGGAAGTTCCACTAAGGTGTTGGCGAATCTGTGTAACGATGTAACGTGTAATGCGTGTGTCGGTTACGTGTACATATCCCATATAGATAATGCATCGTAAAGGGGGGAAACAGCTAGAAAGAGATAATTCTTTAAATAGATTACCGGTATTCTCTCGTCTATATCCATAGGCGGGTGCATGCAATAAACACACCGAGAGCTCTAACTATACGATACTGATTTTCCGAAGCTTACATGTCTAACTGCACGTGAATTAACTCACGCGCGGCTCCCGTAATATGCGTTTTCGTTCACTTCGTGGTTAAATTACCATGTCACTTAAGACCAGCTCGACAAAGATTCCGTAATACTGCGAGCGATTCCCGCTCGCGAGCGTTACCCTACCGCAAGGGACGACTGTCAACAACGAGATTAGCATCGAGAAAGCGATCGAGTTAACTCTGAAATCGCCGGCATTGAGGTAAAACTTGACGTGCGTATTGATATACGTATCGATATGATATAGCAAAACGGAAATTATCTCTTTTGTCCATATACATGTTATATTTATAAAAATCTATATACGCCGTGTGGATGTATGTGGGAGAAGGGAGAGCGGGGTAGGGGTTGAGGGGGAGGGGGGAGACACGCGTGAATCGCGAGATTCGACATGCATCGTTGCACGCTTTCAAAGTTATCGCGAAGCCTCGATGAAAATGTTCCTGAGAATTTCAAGGGGGGGATCAGTGGGGCCGCGCCTTAAGTGCTAATGGCAGTCCGGATCGTTAACACATAGCTACATGCGCGTATATTGTATATCATACTTCGCTAATAATGTTAACGTTCAGTGAACCTAGCGCTAGGTAAGTTTATGCGGTACATTTATCATATAAACCATTTCATTTAATTTTCATATTCGTTTATCGTAATAATTCCTACACCAGGGAAAACATCGTTAAACATTATCTCTCTCGCCTAATATTACTCTTTTTTCTCTTCTCGTCGCTCTCTTCCTTTCACTCTCTCGCGCTCAGTAATAATTAATAATCTTCTTTTTCATTTCTAATTTATTATTTCTTTCTCTCTTTCTTTCTCTCTCGCTCTCTTTCTTTCTCGCTCTATGTCTTTCCTCGTTACGCCTTCGTCGTCTAATATTTTATTCAGCGCTCGATATAGATTATTCATATTAGAAAAATTTGTACTCTTATAGGGGAGGTATCGAGGGATACAGCTGCCTCGCTGTTGTTCTATATTTTCCATGATTTGAGGGAACATCTTACCCAGTCTCGCATGTGTGTCACTTCCTAAATCGAGTAACATCCTCTCGCGATCTAGCCAAGTCGTGCAATATCGCGCGTCGGTTAGAACGTGCATCGCGTTCGCGCACTTTTTTTCCGTCCTTGTAAAATGTCCCAATTCGTGTCAGGTGTCAGCCAGGTAACCGAACGAGGCACGCGAGGTGTCCAATCGCAAGAACAAGATTGATAAAATATTTACATGGTAAATAAATCGTCAGATTCCGTAACTTGCGTTATAAATTTCGATCACCCTGATGTTTTAAAAATAAAATACAGTGTGGTCGTGTCCAAAAATTACCATTCATATATCTAAATCGCTACTTATTGAAATAAGGTAAAAAGACGAAGGTCATGTACGTGTGCGCAGTGATTTTTATGTGATAGAACATGTCGACTCTTTTACCGATTTTACACATTTATATGTCGCGATTGGACAGCCGCGGGCCGCGTTATCATTTTTTTTTTGTATCCTTGTTGAAACCGGTACGGTCGAACGAAATGGAGAACTCAGTGGCGAGAAATCGGGTGAGGAGCTCGGTAGGGTACGATCGGGAAAACGGAGTAAGATGGGTTAATTTTTCAGGCGATGGTTAAAAGATCCTTGCAAACCGCAATCACTCTTCTTTCATTCACGACCGCTAAACTGAGTCACGATTGCGTTCACGTAGCCTTGCTCGCGAGTTCCGTCTGCCAATCTGTATTCACCGTTTTAGCACGATAGAAGAATGCGCGTGCGGGAAAACGCCAGACTCTTTACGAAGTCGCGACGCGAGCCCATCGTGACTCCGACTAAGCTACACGAGAATGGGAAATAGCTTCGTTAAAAATGCATAAGTATACGCGTGTGTATATATATATGTTTACCACGTGCAAACGTACCTACAAGATTAGGACTTGATACGAACTATGACGCCTAAGGATGAGGAGTCCCATTTTCTCTCCGCGAAAAGGACTGGTTAACCGTGAGCGATTCTAAGCCAAATTTTCGATCAAACCGTACACCGCTAGTGGTAATATGTAATATGCGTTTACCGCGTTATCGCTTATCACGCTATTATATGTACGTGTACACGTATATGTCCATTATGTGTGCGTATATATGTATATATAATATTACCAAACCGTCGTTATGACCGCCTTTTGTAGGTTCCTTCGAAAAAAGCTCCGACCTCGCGCGACCTCAACTTCAACGTTTCCCTCCCCCTCGTTGCCCTCCTATTTCCGACAAAAATCCCGCGCAACATCCATCGCGAGTTCCGACGCTCGCGACTTCTTGCGCGCGTGGCGATTTCGCGCTCGTCGATGCCACCCGATTGTTCGTTTTATTTGGATTGTTGTCCTTTTTTGTCCCTCTCGACCGAAGATCGTAGGAAGGCGAACGAGAGTCGTAGGGCAGGGCAGTAAGACATGGAAAGGCTATCGCAATTCACTGTTTTCTCCGTTCCTTTCATCCTTTTTATCGTTCATAGCCATCTCTCTCGCTTCTCTTTTTCCTCTCCGTTCTTATTCTCTCTCTTTCTCCGCTCCTCTCTCACCGCCCTCGGAAAAAAAAATAGATCTAAACGTCCGCGATGGGAGATAAAACAGGAAATCGGAAAGAAGTCTGGTGCGCGATGTTTCAGAAGGCAGGGACGTTTTAACGTCGCTCGAAGTCTCGATTGTACGCGGAATCGAAAGAATTCACTCGTTAACCGGGACTCCAATGACGACGAAGTCGGCAGCGATACGGTAAAGAAACGTTAGACTGTCCTTAAGTGTGTACTAGCTGTATATCCGTCAAACGCGTAGCCAATTACGGTTCGTCACAGTAACGACTTCGAGAAGACACGAATGAATCTGATTTCCGTAAACGACGTCTGTCGCAAAATACGACGATTACGAAGCTGATGAATAAATGATGAAATGACAAATAAAAAACAGCGCGGTTTATTTTATTTTATATCGCGCCCATTTTTCACGATTATCAAATTGTATGCATTGCAAATAAGCCAGTCGGTGGTTTTATCTCATCAATCTTCTTCAGACAAAAAAACCTCATTATTCAGGTTCATGACATATATATATATCTTTAATTTTTAGAATTATGAGCTTCTTTTGGCTCATCTAAAAGAAATCGTGAAAATTAAAACAATGTACTCTTTGATCGACATGAGAAAAAAGAACTAAGATATAATGTAGTCAGCATACGTATAAAACAAACGTCTCGATGTGCAAGTGCAATCGTTAGAAGACCTCGCCGTGCCTTAAAAACTCTACGAGTTTAATCTCACTACAAACGATATCGGATGTTGATCTCCGATGGAGAGCGGCAATTTCTTTTTACGCGTTCACTTTCTTTTCCCTCTCTATCTCTCTTTTTCCCGCGCTTCCTCCCGTAGAAAAAACACCAGACCTTTCGTCACCTTTCACCCCTTTCCACAAACTTCCCGTTCGGTTGTCCCGTTTGGTCCGCACTACCAGCATGATTATTCGCTTTTGCATTGCAAAATGCTTGTGTCTACTATGATTTCTTTTTTTTATTTTTTGGATCGCTTCCATGCCTGCCGTCCGATCGGTTTCTCTCCTCTCGATTCGCTTAAACGACTAAGTAATACGACTAATTGTTAAGTGTTTAAAACTACGCGCGGCCTCCGAACGAGGCTTCGCCGCCGTATCCTCGTTCCGATACGAGGGCGGATCAAAGTGCGATTATAGAGGAGCGTACCCTATATACTTATACGGGATTACTTATCAAAGGTTTACATCGACGACACACCCTGCAAACGGTTTAACGTTTCGAGTGCCTCGCGTTCGCGACGACGCGGAAGCTTCGCGATCGATCGTGCCCGAGCGGATCATCGGGCAGGGACTAGCTTTTCTCAGAAGATCGTTTCGATGCGGCACGATCGTCGATCTCGCAGCGATCTCTACTCTCGCTCGGTTCACGTTCCCTGTTCTTTTTTTTCCCCCCTCGTTACGGAAGGTTTGCCGATCTCTAACGTATCGGAAGGGCTAAGCAGAGGCGAATCTTCGATTACTTCCGAACCCTTTTCGATATCTATATTCGATACTAACGTATAACGTTGCATTGGCGTTTCCGAAATTGCCGACGAATTGCTTGCCTTAAACTAAACTTAACGACGTTTCTTAATTTTGATAAATACTACCGTGTTAATTTTCCGCACGAACCCTTCTCTCCGTCTTCGCGTGATCGACTTGGCGATCGCTTAAAAAAATAGGGTACAAAAATTATTCATCTAGATTTGCGAGATCTTACCGAATCTAAAGTCGCTTCTCCGCGCGTATTTTCAGTATTACTCTTTTTTTTTATAACACAGCCGAATAAAAATGCCCGAAATACGTCTAAGAAACTTATATCGAGAATCTTATTTTTTAACGCCTGATCCGCGTTCGCCCGAAGAACACCTCGATTTTTTTTTAATTTTTATTTTGTAAAAAAGAAGTCTACCCTTATAAGATCCACCGTGAACTTAGCCCCCATTAAAAGCGCGACGACTACGAGAGCGTATGTCGATCAATTTGCGCAATTGCTCTCTTTCTCGGTCAAATTTCGTTTCGCGATTTTTTTCTACTTTTTCTTTCTTTTCTCTTTATTCTCGCGTGTCCGTTAGCTAAACTAATAAAGAACATTACGAAGTTTGCCGCAATCGAGTCGGCATTACTGTCGCGATTGGTGTTGATTTACAGTGACACATCTTCCCTTTTTTAAAAACGACAAGAAACGTACGTCGTACAGTCTTACGCGGGTACCTTGTGTACGTATACATCGAAGAACGTACATTCGTCGTCGTCGTCGTTGCTGTTGTCGTTTTACGCCGTTATTAGCCCTCGGGATCAGCATATATAAATCAATTGCGCAGCCCGCGGAGCATACAGGGCGAAACGCGAGCTACTTAAATGGTACCATTCGCGCGGGTCGTACGCGAAGAAACGTCGGTTACGCTACAAAAATCCAGCACGTTATTCCCGATGGTGCAATGGTGATCCATCCACCCCGCGCATGCGGACGTTCGATTTAACGCCGAAAGCGAAACTTTCCACCGAGTCGAATAACGGCCCGTTCGGAGAACTTGGAAAATTGTCAATTGGGCTTAATCGAAGATCCGTCACGCGCACCTGTAAACTATTAGCGTGCCAGGGAGAGTCGCTTCGCGATTAAGACGACGGGCGCGAATGGTTCTCCAGCAATGATTATGCCTACGAATACAAATCCGACACGACGCCATTTACACAGACGACGTTTTACATAAATCTACTGACTCGGGGTTATAGGGGTGGGTTTAAAGGGGTATATATATATACGTATATTATATATATGTATGTATGTATGTATACGCTACGAGTGCGATTAAATGCACGAATAGGAAGGGAGTAGCACATCCACACGCCATTCAGACACATCGGTTAACCCCTCTAAGGAAATTGGCTGCAAACGGGTACTTTTGGTATAACGGGGGAGGGGAAGGGGGAGCCTACGAACTAGCGATTAATGCGCGTTCCGTTAAATCCTTAATTACGCGTGTCCTCGCAGCTAGCTCGCGCGCGAAAGGCCCACGCGTGTACCGCCCACGCGCAATCTTTCGCCGCAAGCTGCGTGAAAAATTCGACATTAGATAAAAGAAGAAGAAGACAAAGGAAAAAGGAAAGAAAACCGATCTTATCGTCTTAGAAGTGCGCGACTATTCGTCATTGATTACGAAGTTGCGATTTCGCAGTGCGCTCGTGCGTGATTACTATCGTCGATTTGCTTCCTGAAATCTGCGAAGTTTCGATTGGCCCACGGCTCGAAAAAGAAAGATGGAAAGGAAAGCGGATGTTGGGAGCTACAATCGGGAAGTGGTTTGGTTTTCGAGAATGCGCTAATATGCTGAGCCGTGAACCAATTGTCTTTTTACACCTTCCGTCAAATGTCGCAATCCTGCGTACCGATCCGCTCTTTATTCACGTCTTCGTCCTTCACGAACATTCCCCCGCCTCCGCGTGTCCTCCGCGTTTGCTCCATCAGCGGTTTCGTATATGTGTCAATGGGATTCGTTTTAGGCCACGCGCCGACATCGCGCCATTACCAGAGCGATGAGTTCGAAATTGGAGCATGAGGAGTTCGTGACAAATTGAGCATTAAGTTTGAACCAACCAAAATATCAGTATCGACTCTACTGATGGAATGTGTTCTTATGTTTTTCCCTTTTGCTGCATTTTTAAATAACTCGTTGGCACATTGTTATGCATTTCAATATAAACAAATTTAACGTTTTTTTTTAGCGAAAGTAGATCTTTTAAAATTGTCGCAAATATATCACGCAGTCTTAAAAATGCGAAGCACTATTAAATGATTTGATTGTTCATTCTTATAGTCCGTGAGAACTATAATGTACAGAATTTCCAATATAGCAAGATTATATCCAAGAATGTGAATATAAAAAATGTCGCGTAATGTATCATAGGATACTCTGAACTCATCGCTACAGTATAAGAGTGTAAAATAACTTAATAACATTGCAAACGCCATTAATAAAGAGAATCCGGCTTCACGATGATATCTTTAACGTATAGTCGTCAGAGAGACACGCAAAGGCGAGACGGCAGCGTTATATGTTAATAACAACATTATGCTCCTATGTACATTTGTACCTTGGCCAACGTATCCAATCGACTCGATTACGGCCGAGCCCCCTGCATTCGTTCAAAAAATTCCACAATTTCGGCCACTTCTTGATAGAGACCCACTTGAGCTAGGCGTTCCCGCCTCTCACTTAAAAATGCGTTACTTTTCCATCATTCACGTCTTAACAGCAGCATTTCCTCGCCGCATTATCTCGCGAATCCTCGGAGGGGGATCGAGAGAGCTCGGCTCCTTCAATCGTAGAACGTGAAAGACAGCCGGTGTGTGTACTATTTATGACGTCGGCGAACGGTGCCCTCCTTGTCTCACGAACGGTCTCCTCTTTCCCTCCGAGAGTGTCCGGACTCGCCGGAGCACCCTTTGATCTCCCTCATCCCGAGAATCTCTATAAGCAAAACGGTTCTCGCAAAAACGTTGGCAATGGAGAAGACCAGAGCGCGATCGATGGACACGAGGGGGTGCACGCGAGTCGCCGACGTGAGAAAAACAAAACCGCTCTCCAGTAGCGCACTCGATAAAATTTCTTCGTCGTTCTAACGTTTCAGTATAACAATCATTAGGCAACGTACATTAATTACATCACTTACAGGATTAGCGACGGAATTGGGAATGGATGCGGAGGGGTTGAGGGGGGGGGGTGGGAAAGGTAGAGGAAGATGGACAGGATGGGGGATTCGATAAATCCATTGAATGTCGACGTTCGCCATCGGCGGACGGGGAAGGAGACACTGCGGGATTTCGTATTTCTGTGAAACTTAATCGAGAGACGCGGGGTGCGAATTCCGTGGAATTCCGCGCGATCATTTCCCCCTTCGATACCGATGTTCGCTTCCGACGCGAACCCCTCCTGGTTCGTGTTCTCATACTCGTCTCTCGCGTAAATCCGGCGTCTAGAGCGCGATGAGCGCAACCACGTATCGTTTCCATCCATTCTTCTCACTTTGTACGTCTTTCGATAAGAATGTAACGTTCGTCGACGGGCAGCCTAGACGTGCCGCGATTCGATTCCCTAAATCCGCATCCCTACATATATAACTCCCTTTCCATCGTATATATATCTCTCCCTCTATTCTGCATCTTTTTCTTCCTGCGTCTGAAAGTATATTTAGTCTGTAAAACAGGAGAGAATCCGTGCTGCCGCGCGGCACGGCCGACTTCGCGTGTTCGAATCATGCATGGAATTCAGGTGAAACCTTGAACCAGACTTCGCGTGAACGCCTCACGCGAAGGGGGGGCACCCGAAAAGCCGACGCGTGCCCGCGCGACTTAAGCCGACACCGGGTTCGAGAATATGGTATACACGAGTTAACGTTCATTAACGAATTAACATCACAATCAAGATATTATAGGTCGAAAGGCGCGTTAACCACCACGAAGACCACCCTCGCCCGCCGGCGAGTCTCTTTTGGCTTCATCGACCCGTGACGGTTAACGTGCGCGGAACGTGGAATTTAACTCTTTGAAGATTATGTTCCCCGTTCTGAAACCGCGTCCTCGAAATCCTCTGATTGAGCGGTATGGTAACTGTTAACACTCAGGTAAGTTCAGAGAAACGGTTTCAGCGCGGAGCCATTAAACGCAAAGGGGGTTTAAACATAACTGCCTTTCAAATAGTACGTATATCCAATAATATAAACGAAATGGAAAAACTGCGATATTGTTCTCAACGCAATAAATGTTTGCGCGATCTTCCTCTAATATAGTACGTAGGTAATAGTTACGTGATTAACTATATGTGTACTTAATGTATGCGCACTGATATAACATACGCACGTATATATCTATGTATCTAATGTATTCACGTGTTCACTTATCAATCCTTACCACATTAGAAGCACAAAACAAAACATCAAACATCATCTGCATCTACGCTCTGTTCGCGAAGTGAAAGAAGACGCAAAGAAAATAAGCCAATGAACTGAGGAACGAGCCATTAAATTGAAGAAAAACGCGAAAACTCTAAAGAAAATATCGCCGCCGAGGCGATTCAAATGCCTTAAAAGAAATTAAGAAGTCTGCTCTTGGAGGTATTTTGGACACCCCTTAACGAATTCGAATCCGGACGATTTGTCAATTAAATATTAGCGCCAAATGGAAACGTCAAATAAAACACGAATGCTATATATAATATAGTAATTATATAAATGTTCATTTATTTTAAGAGAAATGTGAGTCGAGTTGTAAAAAGATGATTTCCAATCAATGTAAAAGTAATTATCGTCTGATTATAATATTAATGGTTAATTATTTGTCAGGAAAATTAATTTTATCGTCTAGAATCAAATCTACATGCCGAAATTGATCGGCCAGAGAGAAGATCGCTCGAGCGATACTACCATGAGTGTTGGGCCTCCTTCCCATCGATCACAAAAAGTTATCACCATTTCGCGTACCCTCGCGTACGCTTGCGTAAATAATGCTGCAGGAAATCGTAATAAAAAAAAAAGGGGAAAACCAAATCAATAATCAAAAGTTTCATGAACGAGTTCTTACCGTGATGCATTTAAGAATCGAGGATTATGGACAAAAAAGGAAGAATACATTTGCTCTGCTACACGATTGTAAGTCAGCATGACTGCTTGTCAATCTCCCGATTCGCTGCAATGACTGCGACTAATAAAGACATCATTGGAAATGTGTATTTGTGTATGCGTGTGTGTGTATGTTACGCGTGCGCGTATCGCATGACTGTGACGAGAGATCACGAGGTGATTTTTACAAACGGATGCACGTTGATCTGACGGGTGGTACGGCGCGCAAAAAATTCGGTTGACGAAATAGAGATCATTACGATTGATCAAGGCGCCGGTCATTCGATACTTCACGTAGATTTTGTTTTCAGTTCTGTAATATATATTTCCTCAATGAAAAACAACTCGCTAACTACTCCGTTTAGCCTGCTATCTTCTTTTGTCAATATCGTGAAGAATCTCGGCTCTTGTGCTCACCGAATAAATATTTGCGACTAATAAATGAAATATCGACACTCCCGATTAGAGTAAATTGTCCCACACGAATGGTTCCAGCCATTTATAGCGTCTGTGATTCTCGATATTTATCCTCCGTTATCGATAACGGCAGATATTATGATGCGATCTTTACGTGTCGTCAGATGAAGTTCCTTATAATCCGCTGTTTATGTCCGTGATTTATATCTGAGAAAGTGAAGCGAATCTTCCTCTCGTGTCTCACCATCGATACCGTAGAACGCGCACTCGTGTGATTTATTTAACGCGTGCGGTTGCGTACGTGTAATAAGAATGTGCGTGTGTGATTTCTTTCTTTCGGTATATTTCTAAGGAGCCCGTATACGTTGTTTCGCGCACATTTGCGACGTACACGTTGAGAACGTACGTATATATAGATTTATATATACATATATTTCGATATATATATATACCTATAGTTGTCTAGCACAGCTGTAAAGACTCTTACTCGCTAAAAAGACAAAAATTGATGATTCTTAAACATACGTATTATTCATTCTTTCATATAATATATATATATATATATCTATCTATATATATATATTTTCATATATATATATTTCTTCATCTATTCATTTATTTTATATATATATCGATTTATTTAAACGAACTTTGACCGACGAGAAAATCGTTCCCTCACGTCCTGTAGCCACGTCAAGGCCGCGTGAAAGGGTTCCGATGAACAACCGATATAATTACTATGATTAGTACGTAATAAAATTTTCCCTCTCCCCCTCGTCTCTCTTTCTTAATCATCTCGGACATCCACAATATGACACAATAACTTATCACTAGGACGATTCGTCCGGTCGTCTACCCGATTTTGCTCGAAGACGTCGCTCGATTTCACCGGCGCGATCTCCCTCGGTTTCGAGTTTCCTCTTTCGCCCACTTCCGATATGGAGTTTCCGGGGGAGGGAGGGCGCACGTCGCGATATTCCCCAAGATCGACTTTCTATCTCAAGGCCAACATCGATCTTGGCCGAGTTTCCAATCACGCTCGATTCAAAGTCGACCGGCGCGGCGCCGGAATGGAGTCCGCGGGAGGGGGGGAGGACTGCGCACGTCTTCGCACCTCCTCGAGGCAAAGCTCGAGGACAAAATCTCACCTTCACCCTTTCTCTCCCCTACCGCCCCCTTCTCTCCTATATCACCCTCCTTTCTTTGGAAGCCGGGTGTACGACCGGCGAAAACGAAAGAGCGTCTTAACTACGAGAAAACGTCGTTCTATATAAACTTACTATTTATCGATGATTCAAACCTTCTTTTCTTTTCAAGTAAATGACTCTACACTAAACTCTATTCATAATTCAACCATTCGTAACCTCTCTACTCCATCACGGAGACTCAACCCTCTTTTCCTCCCTCCCTCCCTCCCATCAACCCTATCCCCCCTAGTCCCATACAAACGTACCACGCGAACGCTTTTCGGATTATATAAAATTCACAAACGCGGGATATAGATATCGATTATTCGGTAAACTTTCGGGTAGCGAGGAAGGCCAGTGTGTCTGGTCGACGAGACCGAGTATGTTAAAAGCTCGGTAAAGTCGTCGACAGGATCATCCCGCCACCCCCGCTGGTACCCCAGTCGTCCATATAAAAAACACTGATATACAAAACGTTCACTAGATCGACATCAAACGTTGGCGAACGGCGCGACGAGAAATTGCTAATGGATAGATACATGCGTGAAAAAACGCACGCAATGCTGCAACTTTGTTGGCTCGTGTAAAGCGCGAATACTTATGTATTGCCTATCGTTAGCCCGAATGTCTGTGAATTTTTTAAATAACAGAAATTCCTCGCAAGAAGGAATGCTGCGCGTACAAGTTTCCAGAAGGTTCAATATTCGAAATCACTGGTATGCTTATGTGAGGTTCCAGACTAACGGTTGTTTGCGCTAGAAACGCGTTATGGGACACCATAACGCGTCCATTTGCTGGATATGACTAGCTTCCTGAGATACAGGACATTCGTAATTTGTGAAGTCAAACTCGCCCTTCTCCCCCCTAAAAAGAAGAAAGTAATGCGGAATTTCAACAAAATCGAATCTTCCCTTCTTCTCAATTTATTTGTCGCTCGTATTGCTATTTCGATTTTACTGAATTGACACATACGTCTTTCGTTCTTCCACCGTACTTTCAGCATCGGCTAACACAATGATGTTACCGGCCAGTCTGATCAAGAAGATATCACAGTGCTGTGCTCTGCACGTGGAGCATATCGTACGAGGAACCCCGTGAAGCGTCGAACTTTTTCGACAATCTTCCGCGTGACGTCTTTCAAAGATTGTCGGTTTTATCGTAAGATATGACACCGAGAATCACCGGGGGATATATTTGTTCGACTCTCAAACCTTCCGGCAACTCCGCGCAACTTCCACGATAGCTCTTGGGAAACAGTGTTCTCCAACTTCATTGTATATGACGCATCTTTATACCGGACTCTCGTGAATCGGACTAACGTTGGGCGATTTTACAGCGCGATAAGCCGTTAGCAGCGAGATCTCGCTGACAGTTTCCCGTCGCGCGATTCCAACCCACGCCGTTGGATAAAAATAGCAAAAGTACAAAATCGCTATAGTTAATTACCCGAATAAAAAAGATTACCCTAATGTAACATTAGCCTTATCAACTACGGAGCTAAGTGCGCCGTCGTGCGTTGACGCACGATCGATGATAAAGACACTTGCTGTCCTCTTAGAAAAAAAGCAGCAGCTTGCTACGGCACCATCAATAGCGAAAAAGGTATCCTTTTTCCCCCTCCCCTCTCGCGACGACTCTTCTTGTCTCTGCCGTAAGTTCATCACTTCTCCAGTCCGACGACTCGAAATTCGAGTCCGACTGGGACTTTCGTCCACATGTATTCGCGTACGAAATTATAATAGAAGAAAAAGCTAAGATACTCCGAATCTCAATATTCTCGACTTCGCCTCTAATCTACGCTTACTGACACATTAACATGATCAGCCATTGCCAAAAATTGTCTAGATTCTGTAGAAAGGCTCCTACAATCACTATTTTTCTCTATTTTCAATGAAACATTTAAGATACTGTGTTCATTGTCCCTAAATTATTAACAAAGACTTACATATATAAAATTGTTATTCCGTATTATTACTTATCATTTATCTCCATTTTCGTTATTTTTTCATTAAAACAAGTACGTTAAAATAAATAGATTAATGTACGGTATATTTCGCGTAATTTAATACTTTCAAAATTCCCAGATTTAAAGATTCTCAAATTTTCTACCACCACCACATTCAATGAACACGAGGAAAAGTGAGAAACAAAAAATGCGTTTATAAATATTTAGTAAACGCGAGGAGCCTCTCTCGTAATTCTTTTTATTATAAATCTACATAATGAAATAATTCTCGTGATCGCGTGAATCCGTGTAAAGTCGCGATAAATAATCGTAACTTTTTGAAACTCGATCTTCTTGACTCCTTCCTCTTTTTACTCGCGACAGGAACTCAGAGGAGCGAGTAATAGCGCACAATACCGCCGATTCTTATTAAAAATTGAAAGCAGTAGGGAGTACAGGCGACGCGTGCATCGCACACGCATCATAAGTGATTAAGAAAAATTTCTCGTACACGCTTCCGATCGTACGAGGAACTTGAAACGATTTGGAACTGGTTTGGTCGCGTTAATTTTGAAAAGAATGTTTCACTTACCTTGAAAAATGCGTAGACGCATTGCAGGTTTTTTTTTCTCTAAAGACCAATTTTGTGTGTCTTACGTCTCGATAAAACTTCGCGCAGAAAAACAAAGAAAAGGTTCGAAATAGCGATATTTTCTTATAGATCCAGACTTCGCCTCATTTTGAGGGCGACAATTGAGCCCATTTCGATGCCTCCAACGTCGCTCGAAATTTTTATCGCACGTGCTGTGAAAACGAAATTCAAGTTCCTTTCGCCATCGATCGAGCAGCCGTACTGCGCTTTTTAATCTGCATTGTCGAAGGTGGCGAGTTCGATAACGGTCAGACAAAGAACGACGAAGATACGAATTGCAAAACGAATCTTGGAAAAAAAAACGGACGAAAGATAGAGAATACTAAAACGCTGCTTTTGCTTGGCAATTGCTCATTTGGCACTCTGAGAAAACGTACGGTCGAGACGAAACGATCGGAGAAGGACTCAGACGCGATCGTCCTTGCCTCCGGCATTAAACGCGCGAGAAATTAATTAACGCGGGAGTTTAGTTCTTCGCGCACAGGAAACGCGCGAGTTGTCCGACTCGCCAACTCGTTGGCTGTCCAAGAATGAGATTTTCTCCAACTGGATACATCCTCAATTCGCCATTGGCTGAGCGTTTTCCTGTGCATTATTTTTTCATATTTTTTTTTTCGTTTTTTGACCCCCTATCTCCTTATCTCACTCTCCTTCGATCTTCCAATGAATCGTGAACGAAACTGCGTGACTACTTCACATTAATAATTTTTAAAATTTCATTTTATTTCTTATTTGTCATCATTAATTGTTTCTTATATGATACGCAGAAGAGAAATTCGTGTCTACTAAAGATATGAACATCGTTCTTCTTTTTGTCTCTTTCATCACGATAGTATCTTTTTTCGCAGAGCATACAAATAACTAAAACTGTAAAAATAACTACAAATATTACATACGAAAAAATATGGAAAGTTCAAATTTAAAAAAAAAAAAAATATTTAAAAAACTACAGTTGCCGCGTTATTTTTGTGTATCTCGAATTGATAACACCGTGCAGCGAAATAAAATTTAAACATAGATTTTTCACGTAGTATACTGTTAAAAAAAAAACATACATCGCTCATATAAAAAAATGCATACTGTCGTCAATCGGACACATGACCAATGGAGAAACAAAAACGAACGAAGAAAAAACCGCTACGTGAAGACATAAAGAAGTAGCCGCGCAGCTTCACGATCTTCAATCGCGTTACGCCTCACACACACGCGGGGGGGTATTGTATTATCTCCTAAATATACCTCCCGACGTACGGATTAAGTATACTTTTTTTTTTTTTAATCGAAGTAACGTAAAAAAGGTACACGATCGACTATACTACCTTGAGAACGGTGGGCGGTCTGTTTGTGGGACGGCCGCTATTGGTGGACAGCAACGACCAGCATCGCCAGAAAAAAAAGGAGGTTCTCTTCCTCTCCAAACACACTTGATTCTCTCCCACTTAATATGTTATATACACTGGCTACCTCGGACGATCATGACTTTCCGCGAGAATCGTCCTGCACTCGAGCGAGCGACGACGGGATCGGAGGAACGAGGGAGCCGTGCACTCTTTCATCTAGACGAAAAAACGCGTGTGTACACAGCGCGAGCGGTAGTCCCAAAAACGATTGGTATTTTCTTCCGATGAGTTTACCTTTTACCTTTTACGACCGGCGTGAATTTCGCCCGTCTCTCACGGCAGCAACGCTCCTGTCCCGGAATCGCGGAAAGTCGTGACGCGCGCCCGACCGAATCAACGTTGAAAACCCATCGAATGAGTCGTAGATCCTTAAACAAAATCAACATGGCCGCCATAAACGTATAAACTAATAAAATGTAAAAAAAACAACGTGTTCTCGATTATCTAAGTAACAAACGATAGTTATTTCTTCTTTCTTATCCCCTCCCAATCTTTCCTAGAAAGTAGCCTTTTTTCTTCTTTTCTTTATACACGTTTACAATAAAGGAAGTCGACCTTTCTCTCTGTGTTTAATATCTTTTATATATCTCCGCCTAAATTTATTTCATGTATTTATTATTATTATTTTTTTAAAGCAATTCTACTATATATTATGAAACGGGAGACGGCGAAGCTATCACTTGTCATCCGAAAGTATTCGAAACCGTCTGAGATAGATGATTCAGTTGGTCGTAAAAAATTTTATGCATAAATGATGACACGCAAATTTTTGCAAAACATTTTGCTAGTTAAAAATCACCTATGTCAGAGAAACACGTCCGTAATGACAATCGTCAAAACAATGTATACTAATAAAAAATTAATTGTCGTTGGTCCAACAAAACGTACAATAAATGCCTTAAGACACTTAAAGAGCAACATTACGGGAGAAATAAAATTACACTAATTTTGCAAGTCTCGCTTCGCGCGCATCGTCAAACGAAAAACGTTAATAATTCGACGTCTCCCGCTTAGAATCAACCTAGACAAACAAATCTAAAATCGACGTTAAAAAAAAGAAACATCTTAAATTTGATTAGTACTACGGGAATGCGCCAAGGGGCTCGCGCGTCGTACCGTTATCGCATAGTATAGCCATTTGACTGTTAAAAAAAAGATTCCTAAGAAGTTACGAAGTAATAAGACCAGCTATCGACCGAAATAAAAGAGACGAGGAATTAATACATCGGTGGATCCGGCCGACAGCACGCGCCAGGAAAGATCGGCGGCCCCTGTGCGCGTTCGCCATCGTCAAAATCTCCTACAGGTCGCGAGAGGAGGATTCTAGATTACGGTCGTCCGGAACAGGGAGATCGACTTGTAAAAGAGAGGATACAAGTCGGCCGCAGTGGTGCGCATACGGCGACGGTTCGCTAAGTTCTCTAATGGTTACGGCCACTGGCTGTAGAGCTGAAACTGCTCGCGGGTGAAGCAGGCCGAGAGCGGTTTCACGAAGTGGGCGTCGACCGCCCTGCAGTGCGGGCAGCCGAAGACGCGGCTGTAGTCCGAGTAGAAGTTCAGTCGCTGATGAGGGTAGATCAGGGGTTTCTGGCAGCTGTTGCACTGGAACGAAAACGGAACGACGGTGCGTTCATTTCGTGCGGTGTTTTCCCTTCCCTGCGGGCGGGCGTAACGAATCGGCGCGATAGAACTAGCATGCAAGCTTCGATCGCCTAATTACTCTAATTCGACACGTGTTGCAATTTCGTATTGCAAACTGCACAAGTTCCGTTTTTGAGATCGTCAATTTGTAAAAAAAAATTGAGACAAAGATGAGATGAATATTAGCATAATATTGTAACCCGCATCAATATCAAACTGAGAGAAATAAATGAAACAAGTGACAAAAGATGATTCGAGGCTTTTATCTCGATAATTGTACGATTGCATGAGATATAGCGTTAGTTTTTTTTTTTTTAATTTTTACATCCGAGAACATATCACCCGGGGTGATGTATTAACACTCGTGCGTTAAAAAGTCAAAGTTCGATCGGGTTGGGGTCGGTCGCTCACGAAATCGGGGCTTACCTTGAGTCGTTCGCTGCAACAGGGCATGGCAGCGAAGATATCGTAGCTGTACATGGTGCCGAGGACCAAGCTCGAACCATCCCACGGTTGGGTACAGAAACGGCAGCGTACAGGTTGCCCGCCGCCCTCCAAACAACTCATGCATACGGCTGACAAAAATTGTGTACGACCTTCGACCTTCACCTGGAATAAAATACCGAAAAACCGAATGTGCAATTGGAATCTTGCGAAACCATTCAAATATTGCGATAGAATCGCGGGCGAAAAATATGATAGGGAATAAATTGCGATTTAAATGGTTCGCGAAACTCTGTGCAAAATTTGCAATCAAATTGTTAATCAATGTGCAGAAATAATTTGTACATACAGACAGATACTGTGTACTGCTTATTAAGAGGTTATTGAAGTGTTCTCTAAGCATTTAACGAAAGAACGAGGTATGTTAAATAATATATCAATTAATTCTCATTTAAATTGAGATAGCTTAATCTGTTAAATTGCTGAATCCACTAAAATTTTCAAGTTGCTTAATTAAAATTTTGCTTTACTCTTTCAATGAGAAACTCAGTGGCTAAGATATTTGTAAAATTTTCGATAATGAAAACGTACCTCAGCACAAGCGGGCGAATGCTGTCTGGGTGACAAGAAGAATGTGCCGTCCACCAGCGGGTACCTGTCGAAAACCAGCATGGCAGCGCGACAAAGGACGCACGTAACTCGAGACCACTGCAGAGCGGCCAATGTCGATAGGATGAAGCATCTGGTGTCGTCGTTGCCGTGATTTCCCTCGTCCTCCATCTGAAAACAAACCGTTAACAAACACATCGTTACGTTGCGTGCGCAATCGTGTTGTATAAACATAAATGTAATAATATATATATATAAATGGAAGAGAGACTGCCCGTGCTCGTAACAACTCGTGAATTTATCTTTCTCTACAATTCTCCTCGAAGAAAATAAAAAAAAAAAAAAAAATACTGAAGAGAAGAATGAATTTTTCTTTCAAACTAATTACGAGTTCAAGCTCGAACATCTGACGGGAAACATCGCCGGTTACGTCGAGCAAAAGACTTGAAGCTACTTTGAGCGGAAACGTTAGTCGGTAACGATGTCCAATCTCTTCGTTCGATCTCGTTTCCCGCCTACTTGCGAGAGTGACGATAATTTGAATGCAGAATTCCCCATCCGGTAACTCTTACACGCGCGCGAAGTAATAACGTCGGCGACATCAACAAAGCTCGTCCTCTCATCCGTGCCCGCCTTGCTCGTTAAACCAGTTTCCGTGGGACGCTCGCCGTAGCCCGCGGGAGGAGAAAAGTATACGCGGGCCTTGATACTGCCGCCGTAAAAAGACCGAAGGCGACGGCGAGGGTGGAAAATTCGAAGGATGCAACGCGGCGCGCCGGGCGTCTCCTCGATAGCGGATAAACTGCGAAGGCGGTGGCTACGAAACGCCGTAAAGATTTTCGTGACGAGCGAGAAGGGGCGACTGGATGGAAAAAGGATGCAACGCGTTTCGCCTGGATCAAGGCACTAAAGGACGAAGAAGTGTGAAAAGTAGCGCCGTGAGACGGAAACCCGGATGGAAGTTTCGGAAAACGCGCACTAAAGGTTCTCATAAGCGGCGAAAGAAAAGGGCAACAGGAGGCACAACGAGGTACTTCCAAGAAATCTGTCAGCGAATCTTAATTGTGTCTTAGAAAAGTCTGTTGAAGTAGTCTCCTCCCGAGCTGGAGGTGAAACGAAAAAGCTGGTGACGGTTGTACCACAGTAAAGAATTAAAGGTTTTAATAACGAACTAAATGAGGGAACGTAACGGTGGCGAAAGAAGCACGAGCTCTGTAGTCAGAGAAACTGCAACAGGAAGGAAAATTGAAAGGTAGCGGCGAAAAGGCTAGCGAAACGGCGACGAAGGAAGCGGAAACGGGCGACTTTGCCGACGAGGAAAAACTGTCGCCAGTAGACGACATTTATAACCATAGTAAATAACCAGTCTTTCTACTTTGTTACTACAAGGGAAAAAATAGAATGGGCGACGAAAGGATCGATGTTTGTAGAATAGAGAAGTAGAGGCGTGAACCTTCGTGTTATGATTACATTATTAGATCACTTTTGTAATTGATAAAGAAAATACGATCAGTCAAAATGTATGCAGCAGCAGCAGCATTAAAGTAATTAAATTGTCGATTATTGGCAGATCTCATTTAGCCTTTTACCTAAATGCCGAGCGATCAGCTAGATTGAGAAAAAAATTTCATATCTCTCTATTTATTCCAGAGGCCCAGAAACTCGGCTTTGTTCTCGTCGATACGTGACGTCCCGTTCATCCGTAAGATTCCACGAAGATGAAAGTATATTTCCAGACTGCGCCGGAGAGGTTTTCGAGTACTTGGAGTGACCGAGGGACACGAGTGGCGAAGCAGGGAAAGAGAATGCGGGAATGAGGGAATAAATGAAAGAGAAAAGAGACACGACGGAGAAAGGAGAAAAACCGCAGCTCTTCCGACCAACGTATTCGTAGATTCGAGTAAAGAGAGAGAGAACAGGAGTCCTTGACGCATCCTCGGATGCTCGAGAGACCCATACAAGCCACGCGTACATCCATTTTTCCATCCATCCATCCATCTCGCTGTGAGGACTCAACGCCAGTGTCGAAGAAATAAATTGAATTGGTACGTCCCTCGTATTGCCACGCGACGTACGATCCAGGCCCATGATCGAAAAGAAGCACTCGTTTTTACAGCTTCGATTAGGACCTAAGATTGCGCAACGCTGATACGACACGTAACGCTTCCTAGAATTTTATTGCGACTCGTAAGCCTGTCGAGCGCTAGCGCGAGCACGAAATACTTTTGCGTGAAACATAAGAATTGCTTTCGACATGATATTGTTTGATGAAATATTTTATTTATGAAATATCAACTGTATGCAAGGTATATACGTTCTATTACAATCCGTAATTATCGTCGTTGGCATAATCACTATTTGTACTACTTATACTTATTTTCGCATTCCATTTTTTAACTCCCATGTTTAATTTTAATAAATGTTAGTTTAATTTTAATAAATTCATTATATAGCGTCCTTTTTTGTCTGTAATCTATCAATATTAAAATATTTTCAGCATTCGAAGCTAGAAAAAAGTATTTAATTTTAAAGAGGATCTAGAATTTTTAACAACAGCGGCGAAAGGCGAATGAACTGCGATAATTTCGACAAGCCTAAAAATCGAAGAGAAAGAGAGAGAGAGAGAGAGAGAGAGGCGCCAGAAAACGACAGGGGTGGTGAATCGTAAATCGTGGTGTACTGTAAAGGGACTTACACCGGCGGCGTCGCGGATTATCGGAATTCAATAATGCGGGACGATACAAATAAATGAAAAAAAATCTACCTTAGCGCCGCCGCACACTCAAAGTGAAATATAATAAAGAACTGATGTTAGCGAGACAGCGAGACCATATCTTTCCCCTTATTACTTAGGGCAGCTTTTCATCGAATGCAATATAATAAGATTCTCGAAAGAGGATTACTCGATAAAAGTAAACTCAGAAAAACTTTAAATTGCAGCAATTTATAATATCTCGCAGTTCATAAATTAAAATTTAACTTTTCCTCTAACTAAATAAAAATAAATATAGAAATCGAGTAGCTACCTACGCGTTGGAAATTTATCAATTACTTAAAAATATTTAAATAAAATTGTTGGGATATCGCTCACAATGAAAGCTCTGACGGAAAGTATTCTACTTTTTTCCTCGATCTTATAGGTCAAATTAAAAGTCTTAAACGATTTCTATCGATGTAGAGGCTCGTGCATTCAACTTTATCGCACTGGGGGCAAAGGAAGGAAAAGGAGAAGGAGACGTATTCGGTGCTAAAACCGCTTGACTTCATTTTATGTACATTGTGCCGAGGAGACGATTTTCTTGAAGGCGAAGGGAGTAAAACAGGAAAAGAAGGGGAGCTGGCATAGGGGATGCAGAAAAAAAAGGTACCGCTGGGGATTTTTTTAGGGTTCCTAAGGACACCCTTATTTAGAGCCTTAACATCAACGCGGACTCGGCCATAGGACGCGAGACGATAAAAAGCGGTATATAGGCGAACGTAAAATTCGTTACGATCGAACTTCGCCTACTTCCGCTACCATCCTAAAGAAGAGAAGTAATTACTTACGAAAGACGCGAGAAAAGATGTGTGAGAGGTATTCCTTGTGTGCAATTCTACAATTTTTATCTCACCTTACGGCATACTATGGGCTTAACTTTTATGGAAAAGAGCTCGTTTAAACTTCATATTATTTTCGGCAAAAACTTGTAAATAAAATACTGATACTACGCATACGAAGGATGCTTTTGAAAAAAGAAAAATCATATTAAAAACGAAAATATTAAATATTAAATTTTGTGATCACAAGTTAATCCATACATGTCGGATTATATTGAACACCACGAATTCAATCTTGTTGCAATTATTTTTTGTTAATTAGCATTATCAAAATTCTTTTCTGTGTCAAGACATTTATTTTTTCGAAAAACTTTTTTCGCGATATACTTAACGGAGAGCCGCAGCATCTCGCAAGGTTCTTGCTTTCGGAAGAAAACTTCATTTCGGCCAGCGCAGACAATTGACTCGCGGAACCCGGCAACGTCGTAAATTCTCTCGAGGAGTGGGTGCGCTCGTTGCATTCCCCGTTAACGCGAATACGAGCTTGCGAGACGAGCCCTCTTACTTTCTTTAAAAGCATCGAGCCAGAGTTCGAACAGTTAGACGATCTACAAAACGTATTTACGAGCGGCGAGGTAAAGTAGCAAGAAACAAGAAAGAGAAACGTTTCCATCTCGATCTCTTTCCCAAACGATTTTTAACAAGTCTTCTAATTCTTCATTAACCATATTTAGATAGTATATCAGATGTTCAGTATTTTTAATTATAATGAGAACGCACAATATAAGCGATTTATGTTATAATTATGATTAATGGAATGAAATTTATAATAAAAAGAAATAAGATAAAAAAGAAGCTTGAATACATTTTACAATTCAAATGTTAATTTGTACTGTTAAATGTTTACAGACAACACAATATCGAAGTAACTTTGTCGTGCGAAATTAGTAGCGTCACAAGTTCCGGTGATGAAAGCTGATCCGGGGGGCTCAGAAAAGTTAAATGGAAAATAGAAAGTCGGGGATCAGAGACAAAGGGATTACTTAAGGACTGTCCATGTATTATAGCCGGAACAAAGGATTCGCGAAGGATTTCCCCGCGCATCCTCTTCAATGTGGAAGGGTGCGGCGGTCCGGAGCGATAACAACTTTTCGCCGAAAGTTTCCCCGTTCCGTTCTTCGTTTCCCCCGACGGAGGAAGTATTCTCCAGCTCCGTGTCGTTCTCCATGCAAGTGACCCACTGTCGTGCCCGTAAAGACGGGCCGAACAAAGAGACTCTCGTCAGGGTGCTCCTTCTAGCGTGAAAATAATCAATGGCGCCTCCACAAGAGACTTCATTTCCAGAAGTCTTGCGATAATAGCTTTCTTTCCTTCGTGCCACTCGTTATCGATCTGATAATCATCTGTGCTCCGCTACTAACCGAATTCTGACTTCCGTTCAGCTTTTAGTCGCGGCGCTCAACTACTATATATAAGCCACGACGCCCGGTCGCGTGGGAACCGCGACTGACTCACCCCATTGCCGGAAATTCGCTGACTCGACGTACGGTTATCTCCGAGACATTCATAGTAATAATACCGTTAATACGACTTTTCTTTCGAAACTTTCTAGTTTCAAGGCGAAACCTTTCCTT